CAAAATACCCATGCAGTTACTACTGAGGCTAATTTCTTCAAAAAAAAAAATACAAATTTTATGAACGACAAAAAATAATGTTTAAAGTTACAATTTTGCCTTTGAGCGATTGATATGAAGGACAAATTAAGAAAATAAATCAATTTTGGAAAAGAGACTGAAATGGCTTGGGGCAATAATTGACATGAAGAGAAATTTTGGAAAATGAACATTTTGGTAAAAAATAACAGCATGGGTATTTTGGATATTTTCAGCCTCTTTGTTAGAGAATTCTTATAGAGGGGGTCTACTTGTAACTATTTCAAAAAAAGTTCAGGATAGGTGAATGCAATTATCAAACTTCAGGGGAGGTTTCAACAATTTACCCCTAGTATTGTTGAGAATTTTACATTTTATAAGTTGAAATTACAATTTTAAGTTGTAATGAGTTTGTTTTCTAAAGGGTCATAAACGTCTTTCAAATAAAAAATATATATAATGTATAAAAAATAGGGTCATATTTACAAGAACATCCCTATAGTTTCATGGATTTACTTAAACCTACCATATAGTTTTCATTTTACTAAAACCCATATAATTTACAACCTATTTACTTAACCGACCTTTCAATAAGAAGTGTTTGTTTTGCCATATGAAAATAGTAACATTATCACTTAAACTGAGTGGAAAGTGTTTAAGGGCATGGGCCCATGATTGTTTATTCCAAAATTACCCTTAACACTTCTTCATACAAAAAAAAAAACAAATAGAGCCAAATAGAGTGGTTACTTGTATCTTATTAGGAGCAAAAATGGTATTTTCATTTTCTTTCGGTAAATTTATTAAAATAGACATTAGGGTCAAAACTTTCAATTTTTGTTGTCATCTAATGGTAAGGGTGATCATCAAAAATCTAAAAAACTGAACCATATAAAAAATTCCGGTTATCGAACTGGTCGATTCGTTTTTGATTTAGTATTTTCAAAAAATCAAAGGTTCCAATTTGGTTTTGGTTAATCAATGTAAAAAAACTGGCGGTTAATCGAACCGATCAGTATACATATATATTATGCATATTTATGTATATTATATATTTATATATTTTATATTGTCTATATAATATAAATTAATTTATATGCATTATATATATTTATAATATATAATATATTATTTATAATATAATATTTTATATGTATTTTCAGTTTTTTACTATATATTTATATATATTTTTACAATATAGATTATAAATGTAAAAATCGAAAAACCAACGAACCAAACTAATGATTAACCGAAATGGTCAAGTGGTTAATCGATCAGCTTCGGTTCGGTTTTAGTTACAAATTTTCCAAAAACCGATAATACTGATCCCGTTTGAAAAATAAGCCCCTAACCGAACCATGAGCAGCCCTATCTAATAAATGATTGATTAGGTAAAGTAAATTAATTGTAAACTATATGGGGTGTTTTAGTAAAAGAGAAACTATAGGTAGCTTTTAGTAAATCCATGAGATATTTTGATAAATGAATTTAAAAAATATTATAAAATATGTTATATAATTGATGGATTCAATCAGATTTTTTGGATTAGAGTTGGGGGGTGATCCGAATTCTTTCCTAGACAGATTGTATTTTCTGAACCAATTTGGTCCAATAATTTTATAAGACCAATTCGAAACTGGCAAAATGGAGTCGAATTCATATTCCAATCGGATCAATCCAACCCATTTGCATCCATAGAACACCTACAAAGTAAAACATGTTTCAATATTGCTGAAGGGCCATATACATTCCCCATCCCTGCATTTTCCCTTCTTTTTCTTCTTAAATTCTTATTTCTTCCTTGTCTACATTCGGTGAACAGTGACAGTGTTGCATTCTATTATTTTTGATTTGTGGTATTGACGAAAATGACACCAATCTGTTCATTACATCGGAGATTGGAGAAAGGAACAGAGAAATATCAATGATTTAAAGCCATTGCACCAAGGTTTTAAAAACTGACATGGAAACGGAACTATTATGGCCACTGGTTTCTGGGTAGGCAAATGGTTCGAATGGTTTAAATATTTTAATAGGTGATATGTCATCTTACCTATTAGATTGGAATATTAGGGTAAGATGCATATAAATATAAGAGAAATAAGGTTTGACCGTTTGAGAATGAGAGAGATTTGAGAAGTTGTTGACGGTTGAGAGAGTTTAGAAGAAGAAGAAGAGGAGGAGGAGGGGGAGGAGGAGGAGGAGGAGGAGGAGGTCACTTGCAGGCTGCAGCGGCGACGGCGATGGTGATGGTGAACTACAATAGCAATAGCGACGGCGATGGTGGAAAATTGGCGATGAAAGTAAATCTAAGATTTCTCTCAGTCTCCTCTCTCTCTCTCTCTTTCTCTCGTAGATATGTCATCTAGACTGCTCTCCTAGATCTCTAAATGTGAGATCTCTCAGATCTCTTTCACTGTCTCACACATCCCTCAACTGATATCTCTCTCTAGTAGATCTCAGATCTAAGAGATATTCTTCTCTTTTCATTCTTGTTCTAACTTGTCAGAAGTAATAAACAGCAAAACGTTTTCCGGGTTGAAAGGTTCAACGGTCAAACCATCCAAGTCAATGGTTCATTGACTAATTCAACGGTATTTGACTAGGGACCGAGTTTGAGGTAAAACGGAACCGGTTGCCTGGACAGTTTTCGATCTGAATGGTCTGACCGTTCGGATTAATGACAGTTAAAAAACATTGCTTTGCACAGGTAATCGGATCAAATCTCATCCCATGATTGAAAGCCTAGAGCTCAACCCAATCCGAAATCCGATCAGATCCATGGTATCAGATTGGATTCAGATTTTATTGCAGTCTGTTACATTGATAAATAAAATAAACAATTTTAAATTAATACATAAAAAATAAACTTTACATAAATGTAAAACACTCAGGCTTAGTTTGGAAGGAGTACAAATACAAATATGTAGAGTACAAAACCTTATATTTTGTATTATTTTGTATGTATTTGTACTGTACATATTTGTATTTGTACTCCTTCCAAACCGAGCCTCAATAGTATAAAATTTATATTTGTTGAACGGATATTGTCTACTCCAATCATTCAATAGATATAAGCTCTAAATTTCAAATCTGATCCAATTAAATATGGAGTATCATTCCAATCGAAAATAATCAGATTGGATGTCAAGGTTGAGTGACTTTTTGATGTCTATTGATAACCCTACCTCTGTGACTCCTTTTATATATTCAAAAATATGTTATTTAGAATTGGGCCTGTCAAGGCCCCAGGTCTAGATGGTTTATTTGTAATTTTTTTTATCATAAGAGTTGGGGTATGATTGGCAAAAATTGGTGTTTTTTGTTCAAAGAGCTTTTCCCGAACTTGGGCAAGATTTATAGTATATATGGCAGTAATGTTGTGCATGGCTCAACGATCCACACACATATACTAAATGATAATAGAACCCTATTTGGATTCCGGTAAATAAGAGGGGAAAATTGGTCAATGAGTGTCTCTTTTCCATTTACCAACTTTACGATGTGCTTTTTGCATTAAGTAGAAAGTCCCATGGTAAATAGAATTTCATTTGTCCAAGTAAAACTTACTCATCTATTACGTGCGAGATGGATAAATAACTTTTTTATATGGAGAAATACTTATAAAATATAATAGAATAATTTTTATCCTAATTAAAATTAGCTTTTTATAAGTAAAAAGATGATTATATTACTTATGAAACCAAAAGAACATAGATAAATAATTTACACAGGTGAGTATTACCCACTAAACATTTACTTGAATAAATAGACTTACCCGAATCAATAAACAATTTGTAAACAAAGAGGCTTAAATAGATGTGCATAACTTTACCACTTAGAAGACACACGCACAATTTTAATCATAAGAAATGATGATAGTGCCAAGAACCACCATGTTGATTAATTAATGCAATGAATATGCAATTAAAGATAAAGGGTAAAGTTGTATCAAACATGAATAAAGGAGGGTTGTATCACCACATGGATGGTAAACTATTGCCAAGCACTCCTCACGGTGACGATTTTAAATTCTTTTACGAAATTGGTGATTAAAGAAAGGTGCTGATTTTAGCATAGACCCAATTATAATTGATATTTAGGCTCCATTTGTTTGTGATACAAACACTGAATCAGGGTATTTATGTATCTCGGTTAGTATTTATGTTTGTTTGATATATAAAAAAATAATGATTAGTAGATCAAAAATGTATTTTTTGATACTTTACACTCTAAAAGGAGAGCATTACTATAGTTATTTTTTGAATACAATTTTATGTTTTTTTGATAATTAAATTTTTGACCAAAGTTAAGATGTATCAACCGTATTTACATTCATGAACAAAAAATGGATAAATATACATTTGCAAACAAAGAAGCCTTAGTTTTTTAAAGACATAAGTTCTACTGCGACCAATATATGATATTCTAACGCTTTAAGAGAGGAGAGGGCCCTCTTTTCCTCGACAAGAACAAGAAAAAAAAAAGGTTTGGGCCCCCCCATCTTATTGGCTAATTCACTAATTGGTAAAAGTAGCCCATCATGAAAGCTTCTCTGCAATTTTTTTTATTTTCTTTTTCTTCTCCGTACTTTATTCTGTGTTTGATTTGAAAGAAAAGATTGATAAGAAAATGTGGGAAAATCCATCACCCATGCATGCAAAGCATTTTCCTTCAAACCAAACACAGCAGTGACCAATTTTCTCGCATTCTTTGTGGAAAATGAAAGATGAAAAACTGGGGTTGAGTTTCAGAAAATTCCATCCGGATGGTCGATGCAAATACCTCAGCCTCTCTAAAATGGAAAAAAAAATAAAAGATTCTAATTCAACGGTTATTAATGATTCACACTCACTGTCATGTCGTTAGATCCAGATCTATTGTATCAGATTCTAAAGTAATGTGGTCACTTGTCAAGCCAGGCCCTACACTACTGTTGACGGTCCGTCCATACATTACAGTCTTCAAGAATAAACACAGACACACGGCAAGTGGGAGAGAGAGAGAGAGAGAGAGAGAGAGAGAGTTCGGCTCCGCTAGCACTCGGCTGATCTGCCTCACGGAAGAGTTTCAGAGAAAGGAAAAAGTGAAATGACGGATGAGGCTAGGAGAGGGGTTAGCTTCGTCAAGCCCTCCTCCGATGAGAAGAAGTCGCCGGCGGCATCTGCGACGGGGGTTGTCAGGAAAGTCATCGTCAAGAGTGCCGACATGAAGGAGGACATGCAGAAGGAGGCGATTGATTCTGCTCTAGCTGTTAGTTCTTTTTCTTTTCTCCCTCAAAAATTCCGGAACCTTCTTCCTCTTCTCGTTTTTTTCCCTGATATCATTAACTTTTGTTCTGTATATCGTGTTGGTCTAATCTTTCCGTCGAATTTTGATTGATTAGGCTTTTGAGAAGCACGGTGTCGAGAAGGACATTGCGGAGCACATCAAGAAGGAGTTCGATAAAAAGCATGGACCGACCTGGCATTGTATCGTCGGTCGCAATTTTGGTATCCCATCTACTCCCTCTCTCTTCAGTCTTTACTGTTTCCCATCTTTTCGTCTGCGTAATAATTAAGTTGTTTATCAGAGAGTATCAGGAATTGAGTTATGCTTTTTTTTTTATTTTTTGAACAAGCCATTCTTTCCATTTAGGTTCTCGTGGCACTTGGGGTGGCTCGTAATGATTTTTTATAATGCCTCAATTGAGTTTCGGTGGAGGCGAGGTTGATGTGGAAATCGATAATGCTCTTTGTTTTTAGTTTCGTGTATTGCAGTAACACATCCTTTGCGTAGTTTCTATTGTGGTCACAGGCTAGATGTAGATGGTGATATATTGGGTTTGCTTGGACTTGCCGCTTTGAATTAAATTTTCCTGCACTTTCTAATTTTCTTTCTGCGGTAACAGGAAGAGATTCTCGCATTTTTTTCCTTTCCTCCTCTCTTCCAGGTAGTAGCAGAAAGTACATTTCTGGTTCTATATCCAAAATGACGAGCGCTAGAGTAATTGCGTCGAGATAAGAAATAAAAGGGGATGATGAAATTTAAGGGATATTATTTATTTCGATTCACTAGGACCTGCATTCACCATTCAGTTGAGTCTGTGACATGGTGAGTATATTGTTGGTGATTGGCATATGTCAGGATCCGAACTTTTCCAATGTCCAAGTTATATAAAATAGACCAAGTATTAAAAGATTGAGATTACGATATTCAATTTCTGGATTACTTTGTGAAAATGGCGCTACTGATTTTCATTGTGAAATAAAGTGAGTTGTGGGGTAGTGATTGAATGTATATAAAGGAGCAGAGTAAGTGCCTAGCACTGACATGCGGGTTAAGTGTTGGGGCAAAAATAATTAGAGTAGGCTGAGTTAGGTCATGATTCAGGGTTTAGAGCTAGTTGCAACTTTGCAGGGCTAGACAAATTGTTTGGTTTAAGGGAAAATTTTGGTTTTTTGGAAGCCTGGGTTTGATGATGGATGTAATGTGTACACTTGAAGAGATGGCCATTCACATTGCTTTTGGTCCATTAATATGAAGAACTAAGGCTTGATGGTAGTGACAGGGCTTATTAGGGACTCCTAGTTGTTGCAATATGACTTCCTAAAAGCAAAAGAATTGGAAGCCTGGGTTTGATGATGGATGTAATGTGTACACTTGAAGAGATGGCCATTCACATTGCCTTTGATCCATTAATATGAAGAACTAAGGCTTGATGGTAGTGACAGGGCTTATTAGGGACTCCTAGTTGTTCCAATATGACTTCCTAAAAGCAAAAGAACTTAATAAAGTAGGAACGGGATGGCATAGCAAAACCTTGCAGCTTGCAATTTTGTTCCAAAGTGGAGTCATAGAAAGAATCAAGCAAGAAAATTTAATGGAGCTAGACCGCTGCTTATGTACAAGGAACATATCTTAGTAAGCAGCAGATAGTATCTAGATGTACTCACTTCATAAATACCTGGGTATAGGACTGTAAATGGATCAGGTTTGAATCGTATATAAGGTAGGTCCAAATCTTATCCTTTATATTCAGATTTGAATCAAATCTTACCTGTCAGATGTATATTGGATTCTAATCTAAGTAGCGTTGCAATTGGATATTGAATGGTATTAATAAATTAAACTAAAAATGATCAAAATATTATATGCTATTAATAAAACGAATGGGACATCATTAACAAACATATTGAAAATAAGTTTTATGAAACTTGATAGGAATGCCAATTTTCCCATCCCCTACAGGTACCCGACTTCCCTGACCTGGTGGGGTTGGGGATGGGGATTGCTTTGGTGGGTCGGGGACGGGGGTGGGGAATGAAGTCCCTGCCCTGCCCCGACCCCAATTATATATATAATATTATTTATATTTAAAAATTTTCTTTTATACTAAGTAAATTTATTTTTCAAGAAATACTGTTAATTAAAAAATTTTGGGGATTCAGGTCCCCACAAGGAACCCGACTCTGTCAGGGTTCGTGGATGGAGGACAAATTTTAACCCCGATGGGGATTGGGGTCGGGGACGGGGAATATGATCCCCGACCCAAACCCATGACATTGCTATTCCTAGTAATAGATAAAGTATAAATTTTAAGTATATATAAGCATATACATTTAAATCAAAATGAATTGGATCATATCAGACTGGATGGGGGTGGATTCGTATTTGATCAAATCATAAGCGGGTCAAATTTAAATTTGGGTAAATGGAAACCATTTGCTGCCCTAGGTGGGTAAGTTGTATTTGTACTGGTATAACATTCAAGACCAATGCTTTCTACTTTCTAAACCTTTTGCGACCTAAAGAGGAGTATAAAGTATAAAAGATGTAAGCATAGGTAGACTGAAACTAGCCAGCTATGCTCAAGAATCAGTTTATTGTACGGAACAACAGATACAATGTCCCCTGCTGTCTAACATCCTTCTTCCTGGGGGTCATTCCCATTAACCCCTTTTCTAGCTAGTGAATCTGCTACAGAGCATATCTGACCCATCTAAATGGGGGCATATATGTTGGATGCATAATGCTGTTCCTCACTGTTACTGTGAAGGTGCATCCATAGGCCTTATTCCTTGGTCCTCAATTGCTCAATTACAACTTGAGAATGTGCTTTTATCATCCTCTTGTATCTTGGATGTAAGTGATCTAAGATTGTACTTTTGTTGGGGAAAATGGCTGATAACATGTGAAGGTTTACCCTGTATGAATTATTCTAGGATATACTAAGTTTTGTATTTGCTTGAAGTGAGATCCAGTTAATTTCTGATTGGACAAGATATGTTTCAACTTTTATCTCATGGCTAGAAGTATTGTATAAATATGATTCTTAGGGTCCGTTTGGTTTGCATCTGGAATCGGAATCAGAATTGGAATCGTCTATTCCCATAGTCTGTTTGGTTCAGACAGGAATGGGAATGGAAATTGGAATCAGCAGGAATGGGATTGCATTCCCAAGGGAGGGGCAGGGAATGGCCATTCCCTCAAATGGGGAATGCCATTCCAGCAGGAATGGGAATGGGATTCCGATTCCACTCAACCAAACAGTTGGAATCGGAATAGCCCATTCCGATTCCGATACCAGACCCCTATTCCCGTGAACCAAACAGGGCCTTAGTTCTTTTTTGCTTATAATCATTCCATAGCATAAAACAACTTAAAGGGATCTTTTATTGTATTCAATAGAGTTATCATCCAAGAGGACATTGAGCATGTTTAGGTTCATGGTAAGAATGCCTATGTGCATCTCTTTTTTAGAATGTTATCTCTTTTTTCTTTTCTTGTATTTTTTATCAACTAGATGATAATTTATTGAAAATGATTAGCAAGAAGAGGCAAAATTATGGTAATTTGCTTTTCCACCCATCACTGCATAGTAGAGACGATGGATAGGCCTAAAAAGGCACCAAAACAATAGAACCAAATAAATTTCTTTGCTTCTATGAATCTAAATAATGAGCAAATCTATTATAGTAATTAAATAGTTATAAAGTTCCCAAAGACAGTGGTTTTGGTAATTATGTTTGAAAGGCATAGATAAATTACACATTTACGCCTTCTTTTGAGCTTTGACCAAATGGAGAGCTAGGGTTCAGGTTCCCTTGAATATGGATAGCATAGAAGTACCACATAATGGATCACTTAAATGTTAATCTCATGATACAATCTGGTTATCAGATATGTCATTCACTTCAGCCACTTCAGCCATTATCTAATGGCCCCCAAGTCTCCCAGGCCTAATGCAAAGCCACAAGTCCATTCTCTTGGCACAGATCCATTCTTTATGTAGGGCAGTTTTCCTTCACTTCTGTCAGAAAATCAGGCCCATGGACCTTCCACGCACCCATGAATAAGATCCATCCTTGTGTGCCCCTTTTCTTTCTTTATTTTTTTTTGCACAGGGGGGAGGAGTTGCAAGGGTTGGAGTTATTAAGTGCTACCTTTTGTGAGATATTTTCCCGTTTTTTCCTGTTTACTTTTTTCTTGCAGTCAAGGCTTTCTCTGGAGGTTGTTTATTGTGCAATTTAGTATATGTAGGTTTGCCTTATTTTTGTTTCTTTTGGTCATGAATTTTTTTATCAATATTTAGACATGAATGCTTGTTTCCATCCTGGTGTTACTCCATTTCCCTTTGTATTTAAGTTGGACGGCAAGAAATTAACTTCCTCTTCCCCTATTCTGAATTTCTGATTACCATGAAAGGTTGTTATAACTCAAGAGTTGACACCGAAGGTTGATTATGGTTCTGTTTGGGAATTGGGGGTTTGTAATCACTACCTGCCCATGAGCGAAGAGACTCCAACAAATTCAGGATATGGACCACCTAACCAAAATGCCTTTCCTCCAGAGCAACAATCAGAATCTCTTCATTGAGTTGTGCATTTCATCACCATTATCACCAGACACCAATAATACTGCAAATCCTTACTCATCTGTTATAAGTTCTGATTCATTGAAATGCCCTGGCCCTTTCCTGACCTTTGCAGGCTAATAAAACATCCTTCTCCATTTCCCCCAATCATCTTCATTTTGAGTTTACCTGCACAAGTCTTTGTTGCGAAGTGGATGCAAAGAACTGATCATATTGAAAACCTATGTAGTGTGTCGAAATCTGTTTATATCTATAAGACAAGAATTCGCAACATATACTTAGATTTCAAAATATATAACAATTAACTTGTTTGATGACTTATTGATGAGATTTTTTTTTTTTGATAACTAACTACTGGTAGGAACTTAAAATACCAAAACTTCTTGGTAGTAGAAATTACCAAGTTCATACAATTTATAATGTCAAGCTTTGCGTCGTTACTAGAATTTTATGTTAATGATTGGAGATTATAAACAAAAATAAATAAAAGGTCCTGGAAACATCCTTTATGTAGGGTGAGATTGGAGGTGGCTCCAATCCTATTAGAGCAGCCCCCTTCGAAAGTTCCAAATCAAGAAAGATTTCTGGCCTTCTGGGACTGCAAAAGGACAACTTGCTGAACATAATGTATATAGATTTTTCACATATCTGTTGGCCGTATTAATAGTGTATGCTTTATTTTAGATCGACGAGACGCCATTATTTGCTAAGAAAATAAACCCAATTTCTGGCTAGTTCTTTGTCTGAATTTGTAACCGTCTGATTTGTGCAGGTTCATACGTGACTCATGAGACGAACCATTTTGTCTACTTCTATCTGGATCAAAAAGCAATTTTGTTATTCAAGTCTGGTTGATGGTGGCGGTGGCGGTGAAATGACTAGGATACGACAACTAGTGCCAGTATGTATCGGTCAAAAACTTGGCGAGAAAATCATCTAGCAGGACAGTTTTTGGTCAATTTGTATATTTTTTACTCGAAATGGTTCTTCAGCAACAGTGTCTTCAAGATTTGGACCTGGAACCTCACCTAGTAGATTTGCAAATTAAATTCTACTTTGCTGTGATTAAGTTTCTATTTGTGTTGGCCATATCTATCCATATGTAAGTTTGGGAGTAGGTTAAGTGCTTCATATGTGTTTCCTTGTGGCACCGTGGACTCTTTTTAACTCTTTCCTCGCAATGTGACATTTGTGACGTTCAATTGATGGATGGGTCACTTAAATAAAATCTGCACTGAATTATTAGCAGAGCACTAGTAAATTTCACCTTTTGATCAGATATTGGACGGAGGACTTGCATCAGAGATTAATTAGTAAAGTTCATAGTTCATACGTTTCTATCAAAAAAAAAAAAAGTTCATACGGCTCGACTCTTTGAGATAAGTCGTTGCACTCCTTTGGACTCTGGGACTTGTTAGGCTTCAGATTTGCATGTATTTGTATTTATGATGCACGCTCTACGTAATGTAAAATTCGTATTTTTAGTCTAACGTAGTTGGCACCAACTTCCTGTCTCTAGTATAAAGTAGGGGGGATGGATGATATTTTTTGTTTCACATTTATATTCATAAACAAACGGAGATCACATCGTTTTCACTTGCAAACTTACTCTTCCTAATGAACAACAGAAATTCAAACTCGAAACAAAAGTCTGATTTAAATTTGCACACAGCCCATTTGCCCTCCCATTGCATCTATACTGATGAAATCCCGGTCCGTCAACTATAATTTAAACCTAATAAACCCATCTTTTTTTTTTGAAAGCAAATTTATCCTCAATCATTAAGGCTGTGTATGTTTTGAAGGAAAAAGTAGGGAAAGGTAGGAAAACCTTTACAAACCTCGTATAGGTTTTGATGCGCATGTGTTGCACCAATGCCAAATCACATATGGCTTCGGTTGACATGTTCCATGTTTCAATGGTGCTTTTGGTCTATTGGTCAAGTGTGTCAAGTGTGTAACAAATGGCATTGTTGATGCTCGAATTGGCCGAGTCAATGTTGTCAATTCACTCCTAAGCCCGAGGGGATCCAAGGTGCAGGAAGCCGTGGACTGGCGTGACCAAGGAGCAAAGTCCGAAATGGGGGAGATCTGAGAACCGAGGCTCGAGGTCCACGATGTCTGGTATTCGAGGTAGATAAGGATCCCAAGTTCAGCTCTGCAAGGAGGATAACGTCAGAGGCCCCGGGTGAAGACCCGAGGCGAGGACTCCGACGATCAAGTTAGCAAGAAGATATGAGGTGGACGAGGTCTAGGTGCAAACACCTAGACGAGGTCACAGCAAGAAATCTCCAGAGTGAGCTAGAGAGCTAGAGTGCTCGATCCTTTACCTGGAGGGGGTTGCCTCCCATTTATACTTGAGGCCGTCGGGGGGTAGGGGATCTCGGACGGCCTGGATGCAGTCCTTACCGAGGGTGCGGTCATTTGGGAGTGCTAGGTGAGGGCGCGCGATTGGCTCCACGAGGCCTGCTAATCCCAGCCTAGCGTGTGCCCTAATTGGTCCAGCGCGAGGTGCTAACTTCGGCTCTACCTGCGACCCGATTGGTTCCGCTCTGTGCTTTGCCGCCTGATGCGTGTACGCTCGCCATTGGCCCTGCCAAATGCACCTACATCATTTGCCCCCCACTCTTGAGGCCGGGGTAGGGGTTTGAGATAGAAGGGGCCTCGACTTCGGCCGAAGGGAGTGCGTTGTCTTGTACCAGGAGGCATCGATGGATTTGTGCGCGTTGTGGCCTGCGGTGGCGTTGGTATGCCTTTGAACTGCGAGGATGGTTGAGGCTCATGCAAGGCCTCGGCTCGGCTGCACCTACAGAGGGGGGCCTTGGCTTCGGCTTCGAGTTTGTCGTGGCGCGCGGTGGGCGAAGGGGAGGTTTGCCCCCCAGTCTTGTGAATGTTGGGTGTGTCTTCTGGGACCTTGGCTTCGGCTGAGGGTGTCGAGGAGGAAGCGCAAGGGTGCCCGAGTTGGTGACTTGGTCGCTTTGTGAGCGAGTTTCTTTATTCGGTGCCATGGGTCATGAAGTGGTTCCTAGAGCCGGATTCGGGTTGCGTTGGTCGCGGGTCCCTGAATCAACGAGTTGGGGGCTGAGCCCTCTACAGGTTGCTGAGTCGTCACCGTAGGGAGGACGGGACGCGGGTGAACTAGATCGCGCTTCTGCTGAGTTAGCATAGTTGGGCTGACTAGTGAGTCGTGGTGAGGAGGTGCTTTGGTTCACCCGATATCATTTTGTCTACCTGAGGCAGGCGACACGTGTCAGTCAGCGAACGGGGTAGCAAAGGCGGTCGTTCGTCAGTCATTGGATCCCGCACAATCTAGGCTGTCCATTTTTCTTTAAATAGGGGCCTTGGCATCGGCCGTCGCTTGTTCACTAGTGCGTTTGCTTCCAAGAGTTTCCTACTTCCCCAGAGCCCTCGGTTTCAGTTGCTTGCCTTCATCTCCGTCGTCCTCGTCTTCTTCGTGTTGTTTGGTACTATTATTTTTTCTTGTAGAGATTTCTCTGGACGCCAAGAAACTGCTACTGGAGAGTGCCTTGGCTAGGAAAAAGGGCCAGACAGAGGGCACCACGGGGGGGCAAACTCTGAGCAGAGTGGTTGTGGTGCCACCTGCAAGGGTGGAGAGGGGGTCCACGCCCGCTAGGGGGACCCCATGTCCATAGGTCCCCGCTGGTGGGGGCGAAAGAGGGAAGAAGACGACTGAGGGGATTTTGAAGAGAGTGGTCGAGGTGCTGCCCGCCGGGGGGACCCCATGTCCACAAGCTCCTGCTGGTGGGGGCGTCAGAGGGAAAAAGAAGACCAAGGAAGATTGGCTAGAAAAGGCCAGTCGGGGTGTCGCCAGCACCTCCAGTGAAGAGAACTACGCACAAGGACAGCCTAGCCGAGGGCGGTGTACCGAGGAAGGGGACTCCTGCTGCTCTGAGGAGGCCGCCAACAAAGGGGCCTGCCACCGGGCCCTCATTTGCTCCTCCCTCTGCTTCTAAGCCCGCCGATGGGGGGAGCGCTTGAACCATCTCTTCCGCCTGAAGTGGGGTGTCTGCGAGGGGGAATCCATTGATACCGAGGGCGTCAGCAGGGTCCTCGTCAAGGGGATGGTCCCTTCGGGGGACCGCTTCGACATGATGCAGACAGACTCCCTTGCCATCGTCGACGAGGGAATGGACTTCTTGGCCGAGGTGAGTTTCCTTCTCTTTTTGACTTGCTACTTGCTAGCTTTTACTAACTTTACTGATGGTGTGTCTGGTGCAGGTTTGTTGTCACTATGTTGGCCTCGATGACCATGTCAACCTCCTTGAGCGTACAACTTGAGAAGAAGAATAAACAGCTTCAGGTGCGGGTGGCTTCGACGAAGAGCAGCTGATACGAGACCCTCGTGCTGCTGAAGGAGGAGAAGCTACTCCGGTAGATGCTGAAGGATGACTTAATGGCCGAGAAGGCTCTCATCACCAGGGCCAAAGACCAGTCGAGGAGGATTGGACTCACCTCGATGAGGTTGCTCGCGAAGTCCAGAGGGAGGCTGCAGACACCAAGGCTTGGGCAATAGAGGTTGAGGTTGGGCAGTGGAGCCCGAGACAAAATAACGGGACATTGTCGTTGTTTGGCAGTAGACTCCGGAGTACCAACAGTGCCTTGTGCACTATTGATCCGCGGCCTACTTGGAGGGGATTGATGACACAAAGAAGGTTCTTCTGAAGATAGCATTGGACTTCCCCATTGACCAGTTACATGTGCTCCTTGACTCTCTCGCTCCTGAGGACAAGGCCAAGGTTCCCACCGAGGTTGCAGATGCAAGCATCGAGGATCCTGCCATTTCTCTAACCGAGGGCGAGGCCTAATCGACTTCAGTTCTCCATGTCTTTGTCTTTGTTATAAATGTGCTCGGCCTTGAAGGCCAAAAGTTTTGTTTTCTAAACTGTGAAATGAAATGAGCAGTTTTTGTATAGTTTTTGCCTTTGTCGCTCTTTACTTTTTCCTCTCTCTCTCTCTCTCTCTCTCTCTCTTACCGAGGGGTTCATGTCCCTTCCCTTTAAAAGCTCACAAGTAAAAAAAAATAACCCAAAGTGGCTCGTTACTTAGACGCTTGCATTAGGAAGTTAGAGAGCATGGCCGAGGCCGAGCTATGCCTTCGAGGTGTAGCTCACTTGACACACTTATTTCCTTAGGTAAGGCCGAGGTGGACCTCCGAGGTGATTGGGGCCATGTGTTCAGGTGAACCATCAGAACGGTCGGGGTTACAATTCTCTTTCCCTTGTCACGCTATCGTGGAGCCAAGGTGGTTGCCTGTTGCCGAGGCTTTGGGAGATGTGTGATACCTCGGCTGACCTAGCTCATTTTTTTGGCAGTGCTTAAGTCTATCATTCGTTATAGGCTTGGTGCGTTGACTATGGCTTGCAGCTTCTATGAGAGGAGGGTGGCAGACATAAAGTTGCAGGCGTCTGAGGTGACGCTGCCTCAAGCTGAGGGGTGTGCGCCCGTTGCGAGGCAGACAGAGAGAGGGAGCTGTCAAGGTGGGGTTGTCACCCAAGGTAATGATGCTTCGTGGCGAGGTATGATAGGCGTCCGCGGTGAGGATGTTCTGAGGTGAATCTACCCCAAGCTGGGGTGGTGATGTGTGGCCAGTGTTTGCAGTGAGGGAGCCCCGAGTTGAGGGGGCAAGGTCACCGGAGTGGAGGGCGCGCTCTCAGCAAAGGTGGGGACAATGTCCGAGCTGATGAAGCGAGGTGAGCTTTGGTAGTTGTCGACAAGCTAAGCTGTCGAAGAGGTCGCCAAGTTGTGTATCTTGTGCCTTTTCGTGGTTGCATTTCTATTCGTGTTTCTTGTGTAGGGGTCAGTGCCCCCTTCTGAGAGGTCACAAGTTGCAAAAATTCATCGCTCAATAACCCATCTGCTCAATTGCCCAAGTGGGTAAGGTCGAGGCCTAGCTTCGCCACCGAAAACACAGGGCTCCCTTCCTTAACGAGGAGAGGGAGGCGCACACTATAGCTGTCCTGGCTACCCATCCTATTGGGACAGGGTGTGTAAACTCGCACAAGGCCGGGGTTGTGTAGAGCTCGGCCGGCGTCACAGAACGCCCTGGTCTCAGCGAGGTGGTGTTGTCCCCTTTAGCATGTCTGTTCTACCATGAATTGAGCTGAACGGTGGGTCGATGCTAGTTCTCAAGCCTGGAAGAAGACTCATTCGTTTGGAGGGTCTCTCTGAGGTCGATGCCAAAATCAATGGCCGACTGGTCATCTGCAGCCGAGGTCCAATAGGTTCCC